TATGAAATACCGTAGTATATTGCTAACGAATTTTTCCCACACCAGAAAGCTATAAAACAATAAAATACTATATTAGATTTTGAGCTACACCTCCTATCAAGTTAACCTTTTATGACGAAACTCTGAGTCTTAACATAATATCAGAGTCTAGTTTGATTGTGGTTTGACTGCTTTTTAGTACCCAAATTAATAGTAACTTGTTAAGGTCTGTTTGGCCCATTTAAACACCCCGATGCGGTCCAATCCGGATTGGGATGAGAGGGTGTGTTAAAGTATTTATCTTACACCAGAAAGCTATAAAATAATAAAACAGTACTCCCTCCGTCCCCCTAAGTTTGGGGCGGAGGGGTGTGGTGTGGTTTTTAAGAAAAAGTGGAATTGTGTGGTTGGTATTGAATTGATAAAGTGTAAATAAAGTAAGAATGAATTTTAACCACTCAAATGTTACCAAATACGGTATGTGACAAACTTAGTGGGACGGACGAAAAAGGTAAAACGGGACAAACTTAAGAGGACGGAGGGAGTATATAAGACTTTGTACGACTCCTCCTATTAGGTCCATTAAATGCTTGCCATTTGCTTATAATTTGCTTGTGTGCCCCTCTTATATTTACTAATTTAGTTGAATCAATTCTATTACGTTATCCTTCTTTAATGCTCCGTCAATTTTCATTTCCTATTCCTGTCATTTCCCCTCATCGGTCTTCTTCCTCTCATTTCTGCCGTATGTGGCTACTGGTGCAGAGAATCAGATTCTCTCTTACTCGAGGAAATACTACTTCGAATTGTGTGGACAAAGCAGATGCAGGGTTCCATCGCTTACACAAGGATTCTATAGATTCCAAAGTCAGCTATCTTCCTTGCCCTACGGATTGATGATCTAATTGGAAGGTTAATATCAACCATTTTCCGTCGGTGAAGGTAGGTGAGTATGAAAAACATCACCACAACCCATCTATACAGAAATTAGTGGCTATGTTCATGATTTATTTTAATTTATGCAACCATAAGTTGGTGAAATTCAAAAGCACGTGTTTTTAAATTGAGAAATTAATGCCTATTCAATTTTGTATCATCATGTTTGAGACGTTGATGTTCAATAGCATGATTGTGTTGTACATAGAGATAAGAGAAAGAGATTAAATAGTATGTAAAGTAATAGAGCAAATAGGAAGAATCTGATGTTTGTCTAAGACAATGAGAAGAAATAGTATTTTCATTAATTGAATAGTTTTGATTAGATTCGTTTACAGAATTATAAACATAAGTGTTATAAATTTGCTGAAAAAATTCAGGATTATTCTTGTTTAAGGAATTAGAAGAATTGGCATTATTAAGTGAGGTATTAGCTCACTGATTTTATAGGCAAAAACATTTTCATAAAAGTTGATATTTCTAGATATAAACACTTTGTGTGTTATTAAATCATAGAGCTTATAACCCTTATATCCTAAAGGGTAACATATGAAAACACATTTAGAAGCCGTATGATCAAATTTATTTCTTTCATTAATCAAGATGGAAGCATAAGCAAGACCACCAAAGACTTTAACTGAGAATAGTTAGGTGGATTGCCATATAAGATTTCAAAAGGACTTTTACCTTTCAGAACAATAGTTGGTAACGTGTTAATGATATATACTGCAGCCATAATGCAACCAGACCAAAAAGATAAAGGGAGACAAGACTAAAAGAGAAAAGATCTAGAGCCCGTTTGGAGACCTCTTTTTTCGGCTTATCAGGCTTATCAGCCAGCTTTTTCACCAAACACGTAATTTTACTTTCGCGTGCTGAATTGTGTAATAAGCAGAAAAAGTAAGGTTGGAGTTACTTTTCTGGCTGTATTGACTGAAGTTACTGTAGATACCATTTTAGCTATTTTTACATGTAATTTTTTCTTTATTTTATTAATAAAATATATTTTTAAAATATTTTTTTCTAGAATCAGCAGAATCAGCCAAAACAGCCACTTCAGCCAGAACTTCATAAATTTCAGCAGAAACAGCCAAAACAGCCGATTTTCGTGCTACCAAACGGGCTCCTAGTAGTTTCAAGTATATATGTTAACGTATTATTAGATTCAGTAGGATCCGAATTAGAGTTTGTCATGAAGAAGTTGAGATGGGGACATAAGCGTTAGATCGAATTTTGAGCTAATCTGATGCCATATTGAGGATTACAATGTCTTGGAGATGAAAACGATTTTATTGAAATATAAAGAAAAAAGACTGGAGAGTCAAATAACTACCTAAAGTCTTGGGAAACAGATTAATGCAGTGAATTTTGGTGGCAGCTAGGTATTAAATAACAACCTAAAGTCTTGGGAAACACATCAATGCAAAACATATACGCGAAATAGAAAAATCTGAAATATAACAATAGATGAATCAAAGAATATAAAAAATTGAGAAAAATGTCAAATAGGTCCTACTGAAAAAGTAATTAAACCTTTATAAACCTTAACAAACATTTTCATGTTCATGTGCATTGCAAAGAATACTGGCAGTTTTAAAATGAATAGAAAAACTGAAATATAACAATAATTAATAAAAAATACCAAGTGTAATAAAGTGTCAAAAATAGAGAATTCACGAAATTGCAACTAAAAAAGTCTAACATATCTAAGGATCAATCATAAAAAATTGTAACTAATCAATCAAAATAACTATGAGAAGTTGTGACACCGCTCCCGAAGGTCCTTGAAAATTTGATTTAAAATTCAAAGTCTATGTATTGGATTTCTGATTCCCAAACATTTGTAAAACGATTAATGTTTTACGTAATTAATGACCGATTATTATACTGTTCGAACTCGTATATTAGTATCGGGCTTGTGAATACTCATTTTGGGCCCAACCTGCTAAAAATAGCAAGTATTCGAGAATGGCGTTCTGGATCCACTCGGGAGTGACTCACACGGCTAGTAGTCCAATAATATGTATGACAAATGTCAAATAAGTGATAGAATGATTAAAGGAGAATACAAATGCCTATAACCCCATCTTTGGCATTATTGAGCTAAATAATGGGAGTAGGATTTTCCTTCTATAATATCAATCAAGTAAATTATTGGGATGAGCCTACACATATTGGAGATCAATAATGTGATTTAGGAAGTTGACTTGTGCTAAATAAATTAGGATGAGTACAAAAAGACATCTTTGACAAAAGATAAAACAATAGGACCCATCTTCCCATTTTTGGAAGTATTGGTAGATAATTTGGATCCCAAAATGATTGGGATCAATTGGGAACCATTCCACATGGACTTAGTACCTGCAAAACAAGTGAAAAGAGGTGAGAAGGCCATATGGGGCGGACTCTTGGCTCACATGCACAAAAAACTCCAAGAGAAAACAAAAGGGGGAGGTCCACCCCATATTTGATTGCAAACCAAATATCTTCCATGTTCTTTTGTGAGCCACATACTCTTTTAGCATGTTTAGGGGCTCCTAATACACTCCCCATACACCCCATTCGAACCCCCAAAGAGATAAGAGAGCAAGGGAATCCACACAATCCAAGAGAGAAGGAAGGAGGAGAGCAGTTCGCAGGTTCGTTCTTCAGTGCGTAGCTCTGATTGTTTGAGCCATAACTTGAGATTTACGCATCCAAATAAGGCGTGCGAGATACCAACAGAAAGCTCTCAAGACGAGGAATCCGTGAAGGTCTGGTTTGCATAAATCGGAGTAGTGTAAGGCCTCCAAATCGACCGAGCAAAACACGACCTCGCAGAATACGTTTTTGTATTCAAAGTAAGTTTGAATCCAAAACCTTCCTCTCTATTGTCTAAATCATATAAATGATTGAAGAACTATTATACACTGATTGAAGTGTATAAAATGTTATTATTATGTGACTTTAATTGTTGGAAAGGTTAGATACTAACCTAGACAAACCCTTGAAAGGTTAGGGAACGAATTCGTCGGGAAACACCCGTTCTAGGGACTGTTTTTGCATTTTCGGTTAGGAGTTGAACTAGCACTTTGAGGGGGCTGTTTAACACTCAATTCCAAGCAAGGAATCAGTTCTCAATCTTCCTTGGCCGAGGCTTTGGGTCATTGGATCGAGAAGGAAAGTTTTAAAGCTCATTTGAGGTGAGGATTGACATCTAGTTGCTTACAACTTGTAGGTTAAGCATGAGATTACCTAAATGCTTAAATCATTATTTTTCATGGATTATGATGATCATATATTGATGAAATATTGATATAGTTGCCAAAGAATGAAATTTGAAATGATTTGAGAATGTATGAATAATATGAGATTTAATGAGTATAAATGAACTACTTTTGCGAAATAGGTATTTTGCTCATGTATGAAGTATTTGGATACATAAATGAATATTTGTGTATTGAGATTGAATACTTAAGTTGCTGCTACATAATTATAATTATGTAGAGAATTACAAATAAAGAGGATAGTGGTATGATAACAATAATCTTAATAGTATTGAAATACTAGTTAGTGATTATCGGAACTTGTTGATTAAATTGATCCTAGGGATTGGATTGTATGAAAGGTACTTGAATATAGTTCAAGTGTATATAATAACTTAGTATGGAACTAAGGTTAAGTTATGGGAAGTCTTTAAGGATGACCCATGGTAGTTTAATGATATGTCAATTCTAGGCATAGGGTTGCTTGAGAATTGGACCTTAATGCATGGTGATGTGATAGAGCCGAGCTCTAGAATGCATGTAAGGTGTAGACTTGGATTCTATGTATTGTATAGCTAGAGCCGAGCTCTAGGGCTTGCGTGGTGATGTGATAGAGCCGAGCTCTAGAACGCAAGGTAAGGAAATTGACCCGAGTGACATGAATTGTATGGTGATGTGGTAGAGCCGAGCTCTAGAATACAATGTCATGTGTTAGGGTTGGACTCTATTGAGTTGTCGTGGCTTGTAGCCACGGAGAATGGGAATGGTGATGTCTAAATGAACATGGGCCCACGGGCCGACTACTTGACTTTTACATAAAGTAAGTATATTTTCAAATGGGTAACTTAGGGTTACATGTCACGCCCCGGACCTCTCCGGACACGTCAACAACCCGCCGTACAATACGAATAGTCAACCGCAGTCCAACACATTCATATTATACAAGGCGTCATGAATATCATTCACACATAAGTCATCCATAAACATACATAATAAGCAATTCAATACGCAGCGGAAAACATTGTTTAAAACAAAAGGGCCACACAGGGCAAACGTGAGCACGCAGGCTCTAAAGTAAAATATCCATGAGCATGTTTATTAATGTTCTAAAACAGAATGGAGGAAGCACGAACCAAGTCTTCTCTCCGGGGAAATCACTCGGGCAACGAGCACAGGAAGCAAGCTCTAGCCTCAACCTGAAATGGTGGTGGGACGCCCCCGAAGGGGTCAGTACTCTATACGGCTATAAAGTACTGGTGTGGCAGGCATCTAATAGATATACAACAAGTATTTCAAACACAAGACCCTCAAATAGGGTGATAGTACATCATGGTTGTAACCCTAAGTTACCCCGTTTAAATATATACTTACTTTATATAAAAGTCAAGTAGTCGGCCCGTGGGCCCGTTTTCATTTGGAAATCACCATTCCCAACCCCGTGGCTATAAGCCACGACAACTCCTAGAGTCCAACCCTAGTACATGACATTGTATTCTAGAGCTCGGCTCTACCACATCACCATACAATTCATATACCTCGGGTCAATTTCCTTACCTTGCGTTCTAGAGCTCGGCTCTACCACATCACCACGCAAGTCCTAGAGCTCGGCTCTAGCTATACAATACATAGACTACAAGTCTACACCTTACATGCATTCTAGAGCTCGGCTCTACCACATCACCATGCATTAAGGCCCAATTCTCAAGCAACCCTATGCCTAGAATTGACATATCATTAAACTACCATGGGTCATCCTTAAAGACTTCCCATAACTTAACCTTAGTTTCATACTAAGTTATTAGATACACTTGAACTATATTCAAGTACCTTTCATACAATCCAATCCCTAGGATCAATTAAATCAACAAGTTCCAATAATCACTAACTAGTATTTCAATACTATTAAGATTATTGTTATCATACCACTATCCTCTTTACTTGTAATACTCTACATAATTATAATTATGTAGCAGCAACTTAAGTATTCAATCTCAATACACAAATATTCATTTATGTATCCAAATATAATTCGTACATGAGCAAAATACCTATTTCGCAAAAATAGTTCATTGATACTCATTTAATCTCATATTATCCATACGTTCTCAAATCATTTCAAATTTCATTCTTTGGCAACTATATCAATATTTCAGCAATATATAATCATCATAATCCATGAAAAATAATGATTTAAGCATTTAGGTAATCTCATGCTTAACCTACAAGTTGTAAGCAATTAGATGTCAATCCTCACCTCAATTGAGCTTTAAACTTTCCCTTCTTGGTCCAATGGTCAAAGCTTTGGTCAAGGTGGATTTGGAACCGATTCCTTGCTCAAATATGAGTGTTAAACAGCCTCCTCCAAGTGCTAGTTCAACCCTTAATCGTTGATACGAAAACAGCCCCTAGAACGGGTGTTTTCCGGTTAACTCGTTTCCTAGTTTTCCAAGATTTGCTCTAGATTAGTATCTAACCTTTACATCAATAAAATAACTTTATGGGGACATATTATGCACTTTTATTAGTGTACAATAGTTCCACCAATCGTTCATATCATTTGGAAAATGAATGGAAAGGTTTTGGGATTAAAAACTCACTTAGAAGAGTAAATCCGTCCCTGCGAGGTCGCGTTCTGCTCGGACGATTTGGAAGCCTTCCTCTACTCCGATTGATGCAAACCAGACCTTCACGGATTCCTCGTCTTGAGAGCTTTCTTTTGGTATCTCACACGCCTTAATTGGATTGGTAAAACTCGAGATATCAACCAAACAGTCTCAGCACTCTCACAGCTCGAGTTCACAGACCACTGCTCGTTCCAGATCGATTTTTGGATGATTACTCTCTCCTCTCGAACTGAGACCACTCAATTATAAAAATAGACTTCAAAAGCTATCCAAGGACACCTCATACACGTTATTTGGTTGAGGATAGCTCCTATAATGAGAGGAGACAAACAACACACCAATTTGTGCGAAAATAAGAGTGGTGGCCCCAAACTTTGATTCTTATCAAGTCATGTGCAGCTCTTCTCCATAATGGCCGGCCAAGGTAAGTCTCCTAACCCATTTGTATTTGTCTTGCAGGTACTAATATCATGTGGAGTGGTTCCCAATTGATCCCAATTATTTTGGGATCCAAATTATCTACCAATACTTCCAAAAATGGGGAAAATGGGTCCTATTGTTTTATCTTTGTCAAAAGATGTCTTTTTGTACTCATCCTAATTTATTTAGAACAAGTCAACTTCTCAAATCACATTATTGATCTCCAATATGTGTAGGCTCATCCCAATAATTTACTTGATAGATATTATAGAAGGAAAATCCTACTCCCATTATTTAGCTCAATAAGGCCAAAGGTGGGGTTATAGGCATTTGTATTCTTCTTTAATCATCCTATCACTTATTTGACATTTGTCATACATATTATTGGGCTACTAGCCGTGTGGGTCACCCCCGAGTGGATCCAGAACGCCATTCTCGAATACTTGCTATTTTTAGCAGGTTGGGCCCAAAATGAGTATTCGCAAGCCCGATACTAATATACGAGTTCGAACAGTATAATAATCGGTCATTAATTACGTAAAACATTAATCGTTTAACAAATGTTTGGGAATCAGAAATCCAATACATAAACTTTGAATTTTAAATCAAATTTTCAAGGACCTTCGGGAGCGGTGTCACAAGTTCACCCCCCCTTAACAGGAATTTCGTCCCCGAAATTCACAGCTCTACTCAAATAGGAATGCATACTGCTTCCTCATCAAAGCTTCTGTTTTCCAAGTTTCTTCTTCGACCCGGTCACTTTTCCAAAGGACTTTAACCATTGGAACTTCTTTACTCCTCAGTTTCTTCACTTTTCTGTCAATAACTCTTACCGGTTGCACGGCATAGTTCAAATCTTCACGTACCTCCACGGGCGGCTTCTCCAACACATGAGAAGGATCATGCACATACTTCTTAAGCATGGATACATGAAACACATTATGTATCTTCTCTAACTGAGGAGTCAACTGTAGACGATATGCAACGGCTCCAATCCTCTCTATAATCCTAAATGGACCTATATATCGTGGGTTAAGTTTTCCTCGGGTTTGGAACCGAATGATCCCTTTCCAAGGAGAAACTTTCAAGAATACCTCGTCATCAACCTTAAACTCTAAGGTTCTTCGACGCTTATCTGCATAACTCTTTTGTCTATCCTGAGCCGCTTTGAGTCTCTCTCGAATCAACTTCACCTTTGATTTGGTGACCTCAACCAACTCAGTACCCTCGAGTTTGGCCATGCCAACCTCGTCCCAGCATAATGGTGTACGGCACCTCCTCCCATACAATGCCTCGTATGGAGGCATGCCGATGCTTGCCTGATAGCTGTTGTTATAGGCAAACTCCACAAGTGCTAAGTGGTTGTCCCAACTTCCCTGGAACTCCAATGCACAAGCCCTCAGCATGTCTTCTAGGATCTGTATGACTCTTTCAGACTGCCCATCCGTCTGTGGGTGGAAAGCAGTACTGAACTTCAACCTCGTTCCCATAGACTCCTGAAATTTTGGCCAAAAACGTGATGTGAATCGTGGGTCTCTGTCAGATACAATGGTCACTGGGACCCCATGCAGCCTCACGATCTCATCCGTATACAATTTGGTCAACCTCTCAAGTGGGTAAGTAGTGTTGATAGGCAAGAAGTGTGCACTCTTTGTGAGCCTATCTACGACAACCCAAACTGCATCATAGTTCCTGATTGTCCGTGGCAACCCTACCACAAAATCCATAGTCATGTGTTCCCACTTCCATTCAGGAATGGAAAGTGGTTGCAATAAGCCTGCTGGATGCTGATGCTCTGCCTTAACTTGTTGACAAGTAAGGCATCGACTGATATATTCGGCTATTTCTCTCTTCATACCTGACCACCAGTAACTCTCCTTCAGGTCACGGTACATCTTCGTGCCCCCCGGGTGCATGGCATAAGCCGATGAATGAGCTTCCTCTAAGATGGACTTTCGGAGCTCGTCATCTGCCGGTACACACACTCGGTCACGAAATAATAAGAGACCGTCATCTCTTTCTCTGAAGTCCTCCACCGGTCCCGCTTGCATGCGTTCCCGGATCTTCATAATTTCTTCGTCAGTTTCCTGACCCTTCTTGATCTCATCAAGTAAAGTAGGTCTCACCTCAAATCGTGTCAATAAGGCACCATCGCTGGATACCTCCAGTTGGGCTCTTAATGCCCTCAATTTAGCTAGCAATGCCCCAGACGAGCTCTTCCGGCTCAAAGCATCTGCCACCACGTTCGCCTTGCCTGGGTGATACTCTATCACTAGATGGTAGTCTTTTATCAGCTCCATCCACCGTCTCTGTCTCATGTTTAACTCTTTCTGAGTAAACACGTACTTCAAGCTCTTGTGATCAGTGTATATGTGACATGTCTCCCCGTAGAGATAATGTCTCCATATTTTCAGTGCAAACACCACTGCCCCCAGCTCCAAATCATGAGTAGGATAATTCACCTCATGCTTCTTCAATTGTCGTGAAGCATAGGCGATTACCCTCCCGTTCTGCATCAGTACACATCCAAGCCCTTGGATGCTCGCATCGCTATAGACATCGTACCCCACACCTTGTTTGGGTAATGCAAGTACCGGTGCCTCAGTCAATCTCTTCTTTAGTTCCATGAACCCTTTCTCACATTTGTCATCCCATACAAACTTAGCTCCTTTTCGAGTGAGTTTCGTCAATGGTGATGCCAAAACAGAGAACTTCTCCACGAACTTTCTGTAGTAGCCTGCCAATCCAAGGAAACTACGAATTTCCTTGACGTTCTTTGGCCTCTCCCATTCAGTAATGGCTTCTATCTTCTTGTTATCAACAGCAATTCCCGATCCTGAAACCACGTGTCCGAGGAAGCCAATCTCCTTTAGCCAAAATTCACATTTAGAAAATTTGGCATAGAGTTGCTTCTCCCGTAGTGTCTCAAGAACAAGTATCAAGTGCTCTTCGTGCTCTTCTTCACTCTTTGAGTAAATCAAGATGTCATCAATGAACACAATCACGAATCGATCCAAGTATTTATGGAATACTCGGTTCATCAAGTCCATGAATGCCGCTGGGGCGTTTGTTAACCCAAACGACATAACAAGGAACTCAAAATGCCCATACCTTGTGCGGAAAGCACTCTTTGGTATGTCGTCTTCCTTAATCTTCAATTGATGGTACCCCGATCTCAAGTCAATCTTCGAAAACACGGTTGCTCCTCGTAGTTGATCAAACAAGTCATCAATCCTAGGCAACGGATACCTATTCTTGATTGTGACCTTGTTCAGTTGACGATAGTCAATGCACATTCGGAGTGTCCCATCTTTCTTTTTCACAAAAGAACTGGTGCTCTCCACGGGGAGTGGCTGGGTCTAATGAAACCATTATCCAAAAGCTCTTGCAATTTGGTTTTCAACTCGTTAAGTTCAGCGGGTGCCATACGGTATGGCGGTATGGAGATTGGTTTGGTGCCGGGCTCAACCTCGATCACAAATTCAATCTCCCTATCAGGTGGAAGCCCCGGTAAGTCTTTAGGGAAGACATCCAGATACTTACAAACCACCCTCACATCATCGATGTTCGTTTCTTCTTTGGTTTTGTCAACCACGTATGCTAGATATGCGTGGCATCCCTTTCTCATCATACTTCTCGCTCTCACGGCGGATATGATGCAGCTATTTGATCTCCCTCGATCGCCCTCGAAGCGTAGGGTCTCCCCATCATTGCCTTCGAGTTCAAGAACCTTCGTGTAGCAATCTACCCTAGCATGGTTCCTTTCTAGCCAATCCATCCCTAGGATTGCATCGAATTCCATCATGCTCAGCGGTACGAAGTCACACGTCAAGGTTTGACCATTAACCTCCACCCCACAAGATGGATAGTAACAAGTTCTTTCCACGTCATCCCCTAGTGGTGTTGACACCACTAAGGTTTGCATCAATGGTGCGGATTGCACTCCCAACCTCTTGGCGAACGCTTCATTCACAAATGAACGTTGCGCCCCAGTATCGATAAGGATTCGCGCATCCTTCCCATTAATCTTTAGTGTTCCTACATTTATAAGTCATGTAAGATACCTTTCCTACCATTCTTACACATTTAGAGAGGTTTATTATGTTCACACATGTGTTTGGGATCAAGAATGGGTCTTAACGTCGCAAAACGGTGTGAAAAATCTATCCTCGGCCATCTGGGTGCCAGGCACGGCGTGCCTGGGGTAGGCACGATCGTGCCTGGCTTGGGAAAAAGCCCTGGGCGCTACTGCCTCCCAGGCACGGTGCCACGCACGGCGTGCCTGCGACCGTGCCTGGCCGAATTTCCTCGAGGAGGCCACTGCCTCCCAGGCACGGTGCCACGCACGGCGTGCCTGCAGCCGTGCCTGGCCGGAACTCCTTAGCGAGGCCACTGCCTCCCAGGCACGGTGCCACGCACGGCGTGCCTGCAGCCGTGCCTGGCCGGAACTCCTTAGCGAGGCCACTGCCTCCCAGGCACGGTGCCACGCACGGCGTGCCTGCAGGCGTGCCTGGCCGGCAGTGGCTGTTTCCAGCCCGATTTGGCCTAACTCACCCGGTTTGGCCCCGGGGTGGCCCGCACTCAATCCCAACGACGTACATGATCTAAGTAAGCCTAAAAGTGCCCAAAATAAATGTATTACCAGCGATGGAGTCGGGATTAGCCCGAGCATCGGCCTCGGTCATTGCGTAGACTCTAGCTTGCGTCCTTCCTTGATTCACGGACGGCGCGTTACTCGCGCTTGCTCCCCCTTGCCCCCTGGTTACTTGGGAGCCCCCAGCTTGGTTTCTACTTCCCGCAGCCCCGCTACTTGGTCCTGATGTCCTTGCCCCACCCAACTGGGGGCAATGCGCCTTCAAGTGTCCGGCATCCCCACATTGGAAACATCTAGGGGGGTCACGACATTTACCGGAGTGGTGTTTCTTGCAATTGTTGCAACGAGTTACCACTGAGGCTTGTGACCTCGAACCTTGCCCACTCGGGCCTTGGTTCCCCCTAGATGGTGGCGGTGGTGCTCGGAAAGGTCCTCCCCCATGATTCCCCTTCTTGTTGGAACCTTGAGAGCCATGACTCTCCCACTTTCTCTTTTTCGCCTCTTCGGCGTCTTTCTTCTTCCTTTCTTCCCATTGTTTCTCTCCTTTCAACGCTTGGTCAACCACTTGGGCGAAAGTCATATTAGGCAATTGTGTTGCCCTATCACGTATCTCCAAGTCCCAAAAGTGGTTTACCATTCGGTTCTCGTCACAAGCATACTCCGGTATGTAGTCGGCGAGATCTCGGAACTTGTACTCAAGTTCCTTCACTGTCATGTTACCCCCTTGGGTTAGGAGGGTGTATTCCCTCACCTTCTTGTTTACTTCAAAATCAGAATAATATTGGGCAAAGAACTCCCGTTGGAAGTCCTCCCAAACGACGGTCTCACCGTACTTGCTCTTGGTTCCATCCCACCACTTGGATGCCATCCCCTCGAGCAATCTTACCGCAATTCTCAGTTTGAGATTCGGCGCGATTTGCATGTCAAGGGCTGCTTCATTTAGCCTCTTGATCCATTGTGCCGCAACTGAAATGTCCCCTGCCCCATCAAAGGGTTTGCACCCCAAGTCCCTTGCTTCTTTGATAAATTTGGAGATCCTTATGGTTGGACCTCCATCATTTTGGCCTCCATGTGGTTCCACATGGACTCTAGATGCACCATGACTTCCTCCTCTTGAAGCCATGCCCGAAGGTTGCCCCGCTCGGCGTCTTCGGCGTTGCCTCCTCTCTTCACGCTCACGGTGATACTGTTGGAGTAGCGCCTCAATCCGTGCCAAGGAGCCATTTTCCTCCTCATCACTTACATCGTCATCATCCCCTTCATAAGGGGTCTCGACCGGCTCGGTTTCCGGTTGGTAAGTCGAGTCCTCATAGGACCAGTAGGTTTCACTCTCTGTGTCGACATGACCGTCACTCACGGTCTGCGATCGGCCTCCACGGCCAGCTCCTCTAGATGCCCTAGAGGTCCTTTGACTGCCCTGTCCAGTCTCCACTGGTACACGGCCAGTTGGGTTTCTCCTAGTAATCCTGCCACCACGGTCCATTTCTGAAAGAAATTTGGAAAGAGTCGTTAAACTCATATCAAATGTCAATTGACGGATAGGTACTTAAGACACATTTTGGCTTGAGTCGCCGCCATACCAATTGCTAAGGGTACCATCTTAACAATTAGAGACCTTGCAACCCAAGTACCAAAAGC